ATATATATATATATATGTGTATATTTTGAGACACATAAAATACTCGTAATACATGTATTTTTGTATGTATTTCAGAATCCTTTATGAAGGCAGTTTAATATATTTTATATTTTTGTATATGTTTTTTGCGTTACACATACAATTATATTGTCTTTGATAGTGCGTTTGATCAGAGCATTATCGCAATGAAGAACATATAGCATTGGCCTAGTTTCCACCGAGGGTTTAAACCGGATCAGAATATAAGAACTAACCAACTACAGTCTGTTACAGTCGAACGACAGGGGAATGCTCGATTGTAGTTGGTTGGTTCTTACATTCTGATCCGGATTAAATCCTTGATGGAAACTAGGACATTGTGTGATATTCTATAAATTTTGACATTGTGTAATATTGTGTAATATTGTCAACTTTTGGAAAATTTGCATACATAATGCAAATGTCCCAAATTCTTTAGCCGCTACGCGAATAGATTTATGCGATTTTGAGATAGGTAAATCGGTAAACGTATATCGTTTGTTGCGCGATGAGATAGCTTAGGCTATCAACGTTTACACGATCTTTATAGGCGCACGCTGTCCATGATCAAGCGAATGGAAAATCATCGGTTGTCGAGCTTACGATGTCGATTATACCGATTGTCGGCGAATTTTCGCGCTGTTCGCTATCGGTGCAATGGCGTCATAGCATCACCTACAACTGGGAAGGAGGTTGGGGGGAGGGGGAGGTGCAATGGGGACGCACCTCCAATTGCCGGGACGTGCGGGAATGGGAATGAGAAAACCGATCGATAAATCCAATTAAATTTTGTTACGCCACCGTCGCAGTAGTAGCAGCAACAGCAACGACATGGCGTTGGTGGTCACAATGGCCTGACATCAGCCAAATTGCATTTTATGCGTGAACATTGATCTGGTGTTCGCAAGATCATCTTTTGGTTATAAAGAATTGAACAAAATTTTTTTTCATAATTCGATAGACCTGTCACTCGTATAATTTTACGAATTTGCATTAAAAGTTCGTTTACTGCACATATTTTTATACAATATTTTGAGTTAATTCACTAGTATAATCTTATTTATTCATTCTCTTATTACATTTATTTTTATTTATTTTTACCGTGAAAATGACATATCAATGAGGTAGCAGTATATTACTGTATTATATTTTTATTACTACTTATTTGCACATGTGTATTTATTTTACTGCGCGAGCACGTTGACGCTCTTGGGTAAT